AATTTGACTTTGTTGGGAAATAGTTCTCAATAAGTGAGTTTCATGCATGGAAAATAACCTGTTACTCCAGTCAGAAGGTTTCCTATTCTTAAAACAACTGGACAGGACAGCTGAACATTCTTCAAGTCTAAGACTTGTGCAATGGTGGAAGAAAATTCTGAATGGGTCAAAGGACCAGGATATATGAACAAGCCATGGAAGTCACGAACTTCACACCTTCTCATAAAATAAAAACCCACTCTCAAGAAAAACAGAAGAAAGAGAACCTGTCTGGACATTGACGGGACAGATGCAAACCAGAGAAAAATTCAACAGAATAAAGCAGGAGTTCAGATAGACACAGAAGACCAATGATACCTGAAACAACTCTTCCCCACATTTTCAAGGTAACCACAATCTCCATTTGATCACAAACAAAGCACCAGAGACTGATTAGAGATGATTATGACAATTAATAATTAAATTTCACTGTAAAGAGAAAAACAAAGAGTCTTGCAGGTAGAAAAGTCTGGCAGGTTGAAATTTTTCAAGTGTTCTACCTGAACAGAAACTCCACTCTCTCCTAATTTGTACTATTCGAGTCAGAGATTTCTCAGTATGATTAAAAACAGAAACAAAAAAAGAGAGGAGGGGCTGACCTCCTACCACCATTTCAAAAGGTAGGTCTGTAACTCTACACTGATACACAAAAGTTGCATAATTCTGTACCACCCTAGAATCTCAGCTATCTTTAAGAAAATATGTAGGTCTGTACAACTCTTGCTTTGGTGAAGATAATTTTTTACATGTGAACTGAAAGAAGAACAAAGCAGTCTTCTGGAGTCCTCTGGCAGACAACTGTGAAGTTTATACTACTGCTGCTAACAGGTAGACCACATAGTTTTCTTTACTGTTATTAGGAAACCTATAGCCAAGAAACAGGAATGAAAATTGAGCAAATTCCTGCCACAACTGCACTAAAATACCTCAACAGCTCTGAAGCTAGGGACTAGCAGCATTCCTTAGAAAGGAGATCCTCGAAAAGAAAATCCAATACTAGCCCTTGGCATCACTAATGTAATCACCAGGAGATTGAAATAAGAAAACAAGAAATAATAATACATTTCTCCCTTCTTCAGGAAAATATTTTTAAGTTTACCTATTATCTACTGCATAAACATAGGGAAACTTTAAATTTCACGTAGGAAAACAGAAATTACAATTTCCTTCCAATTCAGTATTAGTAAAGGAAGCAAAAAACGAGTTCCCACAATTCTTCTCCAAGGTAATGATCAACACTACTCTCCATTCCCACATGTTTAACATGCCTCCTACCTTAAATCCTATTGTATTTGCCTACCATTCTTTATATTTTAAATGTGACTATCAATTAAAAAACACAGGAACTGTTGCAGACACAAATTTCTAATCACTGAACTCCTCCTCCACATCAGGAAAGAATTCCCATGTAAGAGAAATACTTTGTTAGTGCAAATTTCTGCATATTCAAACCATAACTTTGAACCATCACTGTAAAAAAGCAAATTCCAACAGTTTTACTAATTTAACTTGCATCTAAATGAAATAATAAAAACAGAGTACTTTCCACACTTCTAACAGTCCTGCCACTTCAAGTGAAGTAATCATGCAGGCCCTGTACATCCACATATCATAGTAATCAACTATTATCTCTGCTTCAGAATGATAACAAATGCAGCTTTAAAAAGAGTCCATTATAATTCCTAGGGATCTTTTTCACATTTCCATTAAACAGTCTATACAATACAGCATTAAAAAATACGCACATTAGATACACAGGACTGGACAAAAAACAGGTAGGAATCACTACGCTCAAGAATGGCATTACCAGGAAGGCAACAAATCAATCATTCAAGGAACACCCTTCCAGAAAGACCATTTTGTTTTTACTGGACAATAAAATAATAAAAATATTAAGAGGAAGCCCTTTTACCATAGAATGACAGACATATTTCTTCACAGTAACATCTGTTACACTAAATGAAAGGAAAGCAGTATCTTACCAGATGTGTGGAATCAAAATCAAAATTATGAACAACTGTCATACTGGAAAGTAATTTATTTCACTTAACTGTGTATTTATCTTTAGTCTGACTGATAGTCAACATAAGCAGGACAGCACCAGAAATGTCTGTGTAAATGTATGTATACACACAGATACAAATTTAACTTACATATTTAAGCAGCACAGTGTCCCTCAGACTGAGTTTAACTGGTGATAGAGCTAACGTCCATTTCACCCAGACTTCTCCTATTGTGCACATCTAAGGCAGGGATGGACAGAGGAGTCCTGCCCCTCCCCTGTGCCAGTCTTTGGGAAAACACTTCCAAAAACATTAAGTAAACAATTTTTGGTTGTTACTTACATAGCCTTCAAAGGACTCTGTGAAATATACTCAAACATGTTATAGATACAGTTCTAGGCTCATGTATTAATAACCGTCATCCAGCAATAGAAGCTGCAATATTTTCTACTCTGTACACCTTCATCCCTTTTTTTGCCCCCATTATACCTGTTTCACAAATCTGGCACTCTTATGCTTGTTTAGCCTTTGGATAATGGTGCTTCTAACATCATTAGGTTGATCTAATACACTACCTTTCCAGACTGCAGATTGCAAAAAAACTCATGATTTTATATATATATAAATATATTTATAGATATTCTATGCCTGTACTTTTTCCATAAATATCTCTAATAAGTACCTATCAAATAACATCCAAAAGCCCTTTTCCTTTGCTTCAAATCAGTACCAGTTTTACCAGCTCTCACTAAATCTGCCCAAGTATGACTGTCCCATTTGGACTTGGGCCATCCCCATAAATTTTTTGTCACCACCATCTACACTAGATTTTCTTCACATGTGGCTGCACTCTTAGGGTTTCTATAATCATAATCAGTCCTAAAATTAACACGTCCCCAAACAATGGGGAAACACAAAACCAACTGATAACTTAGTTCACCCATTAAGGAACACCAAAGCTTCAAATGGAGATGCTACCCAGTGTTGAGTTGCTCCTGTTGTTGGGAAAAGAATTCGTAAGCAAAAAAAGTGTGGATATTACATATGAAATCCATCTTCTCTTAGCCACCTGTCCAGCCAGCATGTACTCAAGGTGCACATAGAAGACAGTGACTAGTCATCACCTTGGCACTTATCCACTGTCTGCACAAACCTCACTATAGTCTGTGGAGACTTCAGGAAAAAAATGGAGTGCCTGCATTTCACCACCAAATCCTTTAAAAGTATAAGGGAGGTAACATGACAGCTGTTATTAACCAGAGTTTCTGAACATCATAATTCCAGATTAATTATTCAAAACAACAAGCAGTATTTTGTTCATACAGAACATCTATTCCAGAACATCTTGTAATGAAAAGCCAATATCCAACATCCTGCAGCAAGAGAAAATCTGCAAGAGGTTATGTTCTGTGTAATACAGGTACTGCAAATCTCCAATGCTAAACTTATTCCTGACTTGAAAAACTCTGCTTATGAGGAGTATCATCATGGTAATTTGGCAGAATTTACCAGACTACTGGTCTGTGCCATCAGTACATGTGCTCCTAGCAATTTTGCAAGACTACAGTAGTAGATTTTTTGATGTATCAATGAAACTATAAAGCCTCAACAGTTAAAAATATTCCAATTTCAGGAGGCTTTTTGCATTATAATTTAAAGCTTTACAGTGACAAAAAAAAACACCTCAAGACACTGAAACCGTATAACAAAAAAAAAAAAGGAAAAAGGGAAAGAAAGAAAAATAAAAAAAAAGTCAGGGCTTTAAAAAAGGTTTCTTTCAAATGTAGGTAGTAAGGGTAATCATCCCCTTCGTATCACAATCATAAGCATTACCCCCCTCCTAAAATGAAACTCAGTCCCAAACCTTTACAGGAGCCTTTTAGGAGCGGGCGAAGACTCGTTTCATGGTGAGGCCAAAGAATACAGGCTAGGCCGGGGCCTGGGAGCGGACTGAGGACAGAGCAATGCAGCCCTGGCCTCCCCTCTCACCCAGCGCTAACCCTGCCCGGCGCCCCCAGCCCACC